TCTGAGCCGTTAGCCTCCCACTCCGAGCCATTAGCCTCCCACTCTGACCCGTTAGCCTCCCACTCTGACCCGTTAGCGTCCCACTCCGAGCCATTAGCCTCCCACTCCGAGCAGTTAGCCTCCTACTCTGAGCTGTTAGCCTCCTACTCTGTAAGTTATAGAGAAGGCAGGAATTGTCTTATGTAACCCCTCAACCACCTAGCCAGAAACCTAGGGGAAGCACTGATATTAAAAAGTGTTCCTGTTTGTTAACTTGAGTTTTGTCTCTTCCTCTTTGTTTCTCTTGTTCAGACTCCACCACCTTTTTCAAAGTGAGGACTCCTCCACCACGTCTCTCAGCCATAACCAAAACTCTTAACGGCAGCACGATGGTTGTCCTCCTCGAGGCGGTCGGCTCATGCGAACACTTCCACGATCAGCCAATCACGTTTACTCGCTATTGTTTACATCACACAGTAAAGGTATGGATACTCAGCCAATCCAACTCTCTAGCTCACCGTCTTCCCCATACCAGCTGCAGCTTGGACGAGCGTTTTGAAATAGAATGACTAGACTGGTTCTTCTCACACAAAAGCATTTCAGATGACGTAAAAAAACAATGTGAGCACTACTAGCACTGAAAATCAGGTGATTATATGTTCAACGGACACTGCTGTGATTCAAAGCGTCAAGTAGCCGGTTCTGTGTATTGATTCAGGTACTTTTATGCAAATTCAGTCAAACGTTTTTTACACCAATCTAGTTATTCTATATGTCCATGAATTTGCTGTGATTCTATTGTACCAGCAGGGGAATCGCTTCACAGGAGAAGTAGCTGATTGTCACTTTTGGCATCATCTTGGTTCCTGTTTTTTTTTTTTTATTATTATTATTATTATTATTATTTGATGGTATTCAGGTAAACTCTGACATTTGTAACTCCTGTCTGTAAACTCTTTGAGGTGCTATTCCAATCTTATTTATTCTCAATAGATACTAAAAAAGTTTTACCAGCCTAGAAGTACACCACATTGGCCTTGTGAACTGTATTTAGAGGTAATTAGATGAAGAAAACACACATAAATGAGGTTTTTATGTAAGTATTACAATGTGAATTTAAAAAAATGTCTCAGTTTCTCTAAAATACGGGTTTACTGGAGGACTAATATGGTTTCATTCTTTGTTGGAAGTCAAAACGGGCAAAAAGATTTTGAACACTTTTTCACAAGTTCAGCAAAACAATGATTTGTAAGATACATCGCGTAAAAACTAACCTACGGTAATGTATTTTATTTTTAAGCGAGAGTGGGAAAACAGTCCCCATTGGTTGCAATGTTTCTGTTTGAATGTTAAAGAAAAGAATAAATTGTAAATTGTGGATGGATTTATGAAATACACACAGTGGTGTGCACAGACGAGGCAGAGAAACTGAAGTTGTGTTCGTATCACTGTAGCAAAAATACACTCGATCAAAAGTGGTTTGCAAGAACCAGTGAGGCCAAACCGACGAGCTGCATCCGTCCAGCTGAAGCTCTGTTCACTGCACTGCCATGAGCTGTAGTACATACTGTATGAAAACGAAGAGCTTGTAAATTTAAACAACCAAAATAAAAGTCCCAACATATCAGGATTGACCAACAGATGCAGATAAGCCTAAATCTGACCTGGCTGTTCATTTCTGGGATCGCCCTTGCATTTTAAAGTCAATAATTTAGTTAAAATATAGCATAAACTTAAATGAGAGAGTATTTTTTAAATGTAAATCTTGTATTTTAAAATTAATTTTACCTTTCTGCCATTATGAGCACTATTACCCAAACAAAAGAGCTGTGATAATCACATATATGCATCAGCTAATTATTAAAATGTGTCAAGTATTATCAGCTAAATGTATTTTTAATGCATATCTTTAAATTTAAGGCATTACAATCAGTAACAAAACATCCCCTACGGAAGAGTTTTCAAAATAAAATAGCTGAATCCAACTGCCGATCAAAATAAATGAAAACAGAAATCAGCAAATCACAATATTGTGCAGCTATAGTTTTCTTCGGTTTGTTTTGTGTCAAAAAGGGCAAAATTAAGCAACACCAGAGCTGCAAGGTACCGCTCGGTCATTATAAATGCATTGTTGACCAACAGGCTTTATAAAAATTATTAATTGTGTATAAAAAGGTTTAAATCCTGCAGGACATTTTACAGTGTATACTCAACTTGTTGCTGTTTTTAAACCACGGAGCGGTGAAACTGTTTCCGTAGGATCTCAGTGTTTTCTATATTGGTACAAAGACTTGTGCACAGAAACTTTTCATTATTCTCTATATTGTACTTTTTTCAAATAGAGCTGTTTTTAAACTGGAACGCAGGTTTGCCGCCACTGTAAGCCCACAATTATAACACGTTCTCCAGTCTGTGCACACCATTTAATGTACATACTGTATGTTTTCAGGTCGTTTAGTTCTCTATCAAAAATCTCATTTGTTGACATTATTTGTTTTTTTGTCATTGGTATATTCTAATACCCGTTGGTTTCACTCTAGTCTAAAATACTGCAAAGGGGAATTTCTTCCCTCTTTTATACCTCTTTTTGTTGTCAGTTTCAGTTTTTTTTTTTAAATCATTGCAAAAATGCGAAATTGTAAATGGTGACATTATTTATACTGTAAATGGTCGTTTGCTTATATATTTATTGCGTATCAAAGGATGCTTCACTTGATAAGGGGCTACAAGGTATTTTAAAAGTGTAGTATGATCGCAGTTTGTGGATAGGGGACGTGCAATCGGGGAGGGGGCAGTTTAATACTCATGGTGCTAGGCCCCTACTTGCCTCATTGCCCCCTCATCGAACAGCGTTTATTGATGTATGGACACAACTCAAACCAATCATCTGGTGCTTAGAAACCATTTCAACAGTTTACTGCTAACAGAAATGGAACGATGTCCTTGTACTGTATCAAATCAATACAAGATTTTGTAACGTTTTTTTTCTTTACCATTGTATAAAACTCATAATCTCGTGTGGCATTAGTGGTTTTATGAGCATTAGCTGTAGTTGTAACTCTTGACACTTTTGCAGAGACTTCTAGGGATGTGACTTTTATTGGCGTTAAGGTTTCTGGTGTCTTGTCCTCATTAGTACTATTTGGAGGATGTGATGATGCTCTTTGTTTTTTCTCTCCCCCCCCCCCTCCGTCGTCACTTGTTTGATTTATGCTGCACATATTGTTTTCCAAAAAGAACTCGCATAGAAGAAACCTGAGCCAGACCTGTCTTAAATCCCTCTGTGATTTTTTTTTTCTGTGACATACTGTATTGTTGTTCAAGAAAATAAAATGTTTTGATAATCTATTTAATGGTGATGTGTGTGACTTTCTTCTTTGTGCTTCTACCAGATGACGACGGTTTCACCACTGGGTGGTACTCAATCAGAAAAGCTTTTTTTTTTATCTTTACATTTACAAAAAATATATTAAGACAGATTTGTATGCTATATATCACTTGAACCAAGAGTTATGGGCGCATAAGAAACCAAATTCAGAATTAAATTAATTGATTGAATTAAAGTCAAAGTTTCTTTATTTGTCATTCACATCACATGTGGTACATGAGGTGGAAGGAAACTGTACACAGGGTCGCAGTTACATCCAACAAAAGTATACATTGTAAAGAAAAAACAATAGATCTAAGATATGAACTAAGAATTATGCTAAACTAAGAATATACTAAACACTAATTGTACAAAAACAATATGCCGAACAACAGCAGCACGAACATGAGGCTCTGTGAGCAGATGAGTATGAATGAACACAGCAGCATGAAATAAATCAGCAGCGTAAGAGAGGTAGGTGTGTTTGTTCCATCTGAAGTCCACGACCATCTCGTTTGTCTTTTTCATGTATGTTTTATTGTATGTATGTTTTATTTATTCATTTCATCCAAACAACAAATATAATACAATTTAAATAAAAGAAAAAAGATATACAATCACAGAAATAAAATGAAAGGCAGCAGAAGAAGAATAAGTTCTTATAATATCTGCCCCTTGTCCCCAAAATATATTCCAAACAAAATTACTAAACAAAAGCAAGATGAATTAATAAAAAAAATAATAAAAACTTTGCTAAAATATAAGATCAACTGTAAACTATTTTTCATATTGATGTGAAGGTTGTTCTTCCTGCACCAGCTCTCCAGTTGTTCCACTTCCTGCCTGTAGCTGAACTCATTGTTTGTGATGCCTCCCACCACCACTGTATCATCTGCAAACTTTACATTGTGACAGCCTGGATGGGTAGCTGCACGATCATATGTGAGCAGAGTGAAAAGGAGAGGGCTCAGCACACAGCCAGTGCTGAGGGTTATGGTAGAGGAGAAGTTGTGGATCCTCACAAACTGCAGTCTGTTGGTTAAGAAATCCAGAACCCAGTTGCAAATGGAGGGGCTTAGTCCTAGTGTGAGTATTTTGTCCATCAGGGTCTGGGGGGATCATGGTATTGAAGGCAGGCATGAAGTCCACAAAGAGCATACGGACATAGGAGTCCTTCTCCAGGTGGGACAGCAGTGTGGACCACGGAGGAGATGGCGTCTTCTGTTGATCGATTCTTGCGGTATATGTACTGGTGAGGATCCTCGTTAATGTTGATGGTTGTTTTGATGTGGGTCATGACCAGTCTTTCGAAGAATTTAGCGACTATCGGGGTGAGGGCTACTGGTCAATAGTCATTCAGACCAGTCAGTGTAGAGCTCTTTGGGACTGGGATGATGGTGGCGGTCTTCAATCAGGTACGAACTGTTGCCAGGGTAAATGAGGAGTTAACAATGTCGGCCAGCACCTGGCAGAGCTGAGCGGCACGTTCTTTCATCACCTTCCCGGGGATGTTGTCTGGGCCGGTTGTTTTGTGAGGATTAATCCTAAACGTACTCCTCACTTCGACTGAGGTCACACTGAGAAACTCCTCTTCCAGTGATGAGTCTGGTGCTGGGTGGTCTGTTCGGATCTTCAAAGTGTGTGTAATGTACTCCCTTTTGTATCTTCCTGTTTCTGAGGCGTATTGAGATACATGCTTGTAGAAAATACTGTCAGTATCACTTCTTTACATACTGTATCTGATAAAAAAGAGTTTTCTCCAACACCAAATGCATGAATGGAGAAGATTTGGAACATGACTGATAAAAACTGTATAGCAGGGACTCAACATCACACAGTCTCATACCATTGCAAATGATCAGTTTGCACTGTTGTTGTGTATTGTGGCACTTTTGTGCAAATTAGGCATTGCCAGTGGTGTAGTCTATGTGATACATGAGTATACGGAGTATACCCACTTGAAAAGCTTAAGAATTTCAGTATACCCACTTAAAAGTGCCCAAAGATACATGACGTATCATCAGGCATGTGTCACTGATACGTTAAACAGCAGGTAAGCGCTTCCGTAACAATCTATCGGTATGCAGCGCTTGTTTATTACATTCGCTTATCCAGGGAATTATTGTATAATTAATACTTTTGTACTTATTACTTAATAATTGAACATGTTTTGGTTTGATACTGTTTTATAAATTCTACAACATGGTTTTAATACAAAGCTAACTTTTGTACAAAGTTTGTTGTTCAGTTATTCAAATATAAGCATCAGAGAAATTTGGAAATGTTCAATACGCTTTAAAATCAAAATAAATTGACGATTACATTGTACTAACCAGACTACTTTGGTTTCTAAGCACAGTATACGGACTGACCGTGGTAAAGTTAGTTTTACGTTGGATGTTGGACATTCGTGCGTCGTGGCTTCAGCGGTGTCCGACGTAAAACTAACTTTACCATGGTATACCCACTACAAAAATGTAGACTACACCACTGGGCATTGCCATTGCTCGTCTTTTGTCTACGTGTCAGTTTTTGTCATGTGTATCTTGTAAATCCAACAGTGTTCAGGATGCCATGTGGTTGTGTCTGCCTAAATTCTCCATGGTTATGAGTACCAACATCTTCACAGTGTTTTCTCGGCACTGTGGTTGGTCAAAATATGCACACCTACTGAAAAGAAAAGGTCCACTGTTCTACATGTTTCAAATGTTTCCCTGCTTCACAACTGACTGACATGAATGAACTGTTGACAGGTTTCTGCTGAACTTGATGACATTCCGGGTGAGTGATTCAATTATTTGAATCAAGTGTGGTGAAGCAGCTAAAACATGCAGGGCAGTGAGCGATGAGGATCTGGATTGGGGACCTCTGGTATAAAGAACCTACTTCTCATTAATTCGACAAACATGGATCTGTTATGTTAACGGGTGTACCCAGAATGAAAGGACTGAGATGAACAGATACCAGGACTCAATAGCAGTTTACAGTGTTTTTTAACAAAGTGAGGCAAAAGAGAAACATCAGGGAAGGGAGCTGGATCATGAGATGACAGAGGAGAGAGAGGTCTGGCTGTAGGAGATGGAAATGTTTGCAGCTATTATCCTTACGAAGAGAGTTGGGGTCAGAACGGGGAGGGCTGATCCAACAGTTTCCAGGGTGATGAGTAGAGCAGGGGTCCAAGGGAAGCAGGCAAGTGGTGGTAGGTGGAGAGCAGCTGAGGAGGTGCAAGAGAATGAGGAACTTGTAGAGGAATCAAGGTAGGACAGGTGGATGGCAGGGTTAGCTCTGAGGAGACGGACAAAAACACAACTACACTCAGGTCACTCATAGAAATACTGGCTAGAACAATTCTACCATTGGTGAAGAATGTCCCAGCGCCTGCTGAATGATCTCTGCAGCTTCTTATACTCCTCCTGTGTGTAGTGCTGATGATCTACAGCTGCTGTCAATTAACGTCCTGAGCAGAGAGAGGAAGAAGGCAGGGTAGAACTCCTACAGGATCTGGAATAAACTTATGAATAAGTTGCAGTTGTTTGGTTTGGACTTTACTTGAGGACGAGGAGAACAAAAGACCGACTCTCAACCTGAGATATGCCAAAGTAGCAACATGAAAAGTAGTCCCAGAAGATGGTGGGTGAGACCATGGATAGGTGCTGACATTACCACAGTGGGGAATTATTACAATAAGATGCTGGTGAACACCACAGATAATTTGCATCAATGCTGCACATCAGAACAAAACTCCACACCAATGGAAATTAAACGGGATATGTAACTGCAGTGTTGGCTACACCACCATAATGTACTGTAACATTCCCACCCAAAATCAAATACACATTCCAACATGTACAGTGCCTTGCAAAAGTATTCAGCCCCCTTGAACTTTTCAAACTTTTGCCAAATTTCAGGCGTCAAGCATAAAGATATAAAATTTTAATTTTTTGTGAAGAACAACAACAAGTGGGACACAATCGTGAAGTGGAATGAAATTTATTGGATGTGTCAAACTTTTTTAACAAATAAAAAACTGAAAAGTGGGGCGTACAATATTATTCAGCCCCTTTACTTTCAGTGCAGCAAACTCACTCCAGAAGTTCAGTGAAGATCTATGAATGATCCAGTGTTGTCCCAAATGACTGATGATGATAAATAGAATCCACTTGTGTGTAATCAAGTCTCCGTATAAATGCACATGCTCTGTGATATTCTCAGGGTTCTGTTCAAAGCACAGAGAGCATCATGAAGACCAAAGAACACACCAGGCAGGTCCGAGATACTGTTGTGGAGAAGCTAAAAGCCGGATTTGGATACAAAAAGATTTCCCAAGCTTTAAACATCCCAAGGAGCACTGTGCAAGCAATCCTATTGAAATGGAAGGAGTATCAGACCACTGCAAATCTACCAAGACCCGGCCGTCCCTCTAAACTTTCATCTCGAACAAGGAGAAGACTGATCAGAGATGCAGCCAAGAGGCCCATGATCACTGTGGATGAACTGCAGAGATCTACAGCTGAGGTGGGAGAGTCTGTCCATAGGACAACAATCAGTCGTACACTGCACAAATCTGGCCTTTATGGAAGAGTGGCAAGAAGAAAGCCATTTCTCAAAGATATCCATAAAAAGTGTTGTTAAAGTTTGTCACAAGCACCTGGGGGACACACCAAACATGTGGAAGAAGGTGCTCTGGTCAGATGAAACCAAAATCCAACTGTTCGGCCACAATGCAAAACGATATGTTTGGTGTAAAAGCAACACAGCTCATCACCCTGAACACACCATCCCCACTGTCAAACATGGTGGTGGCAGCATCATGGTTTGGGCCTGCTTTTCATCAGCAGGGACAGGGAATATGGTCAGAATTGATGGGAAGATGGATGGGGCCAAATACAGGACCATTCTGGAAGAAAACCTGTTTGAGTCTGCAAGAGACCTATATCATACCATACCAT